CTGGCACACCGTGTTTGGGGCTGCCTGTGTGGTTTTTAAAATGTCATCTTTATTAGTATTACATTCAAGGAATAGTACCTAGAATCAGTTTTCTTGCAGACCTTCCTCCAGTGTGTGGCATATGTCTGTGACAAGCGACATTACAGAAGGTCGTGTCACTTTTAACTGCTTGCATTACATCTTTCTGATTTCCCTAGTGCCCTTCCCTTGTTTGATTAATACTACTTGCTTTCAAGCAATGTATCAGGAAGCATAATCTGGAAAAAGAATTCTGAAGCCTATCTTAGAGAACTCTCTTTAAGAAAAGGGGGAAATCCAACTTAGTAAATGTATCTTTTCTAACAAAGGCATCTTTGTCTCAATCTTTTTCCTTTTCCCCCTGAAGGAGAAGGAAATATTCTCTCTCTCTCTCTCTCTCTCTCTCTCTCTCTCTCTCTCTCTCTCTCTCTCTCTCTATGCATATGTGCGTGTGCCTACCGTGTATGACTAAATTATTGGTTGCAATTTTTGGACTACTGGTTTTTGAATACTTAAAAGAACTATGTAGCACTTATTTGGTTTTATTTAAGGAGGAACAAGCTGGAATTTGAGGCAAGAACTCTTGTTTTGTATTTGTTAAAACTCCAGCACTCCTTTTGAATAGCAGGTGTTTCTTGAGTTCTCTTGGAAGGCTGCAGGTTTGTGCAGTCATTAAATGTACTACATAGCTTACTTTTGAACTCATCTTGCAGTTTCTGTGCTCATTACATGGCCTGGCCTGTGTGCCTCAAAGCACAGACAAGTTTAGAAGCTACACATGCCCTCAGAGCTGTCCATTCACTTAGTCACTGATGCCTGGAGATTAGTCATGAATCCATCATGACTTCAAGCTACAGTCTTCATCTGTACCTATACTATGCCCCGATTTGTGTTTCTTTTTTTTTTTTTTTTTTTTTTTTTTTTTTTTGGTTTTTCGAGACAGGGTTTCTCTGTGTAGCTTTGCACCTTTCCTGGAACTCACTTAGTAGCCCAGGCTGGCCTCGAACTCACAGAGATCCACCGGCCTCTGCCTCCCGAGTGCTGGGATTAAAGGCGTGCGCCACCACCGCCTGGTGATTTGTGTTTCTTAGGGTCAGTGAAAACATGAGACAGAATTTTATGTCATTCAGAAGACAGAACAAAAAAAGATATAATTTAATTTCCAAATATGAATGTTAAAGATATAGTTGACATTTTGTTTTTATCATTAGCTAACATTTTTGAGAATTTTTTTGATACAAGAAGTATGCTAAGACTTCATATGTAGCCTCATTGAGTCCTTAGTCAGCACTGTGGGAAAGGGGCTGTGACCAGCACTATTTTCCAAGCATTTTATGCTTCCTCTGAACAACATGTTCTAGTGGGATACATTCTGGAGTTACATGTAGAAATCAATAGGAACCCATCACCTGTTTGTTTTATAGACCCTCATGTGTAATGCCTGTGACGTAGCAGCCAACGGCAACAGAGGAGGACAGCCCTCAGCAGAACACAACACAACACTCTCTGCCAAACGTAGAAGCCAATGGCTGTGTTGGGGGCGCCTGGCAGCACATTTGCAGAGTAACTGCATGGAGCCAATTACCCACTTGGGCAGGGTAATAGCAGTTTGGGTTTTGCAAAAGAGCCTGATTCTGTAGACCTCCTTGAGTCCCACTTGAACACAATGTCATTTGTAAAATGTGTAGTTGTCCTAGTGGTTTGTTTATTTTTCATATTTTGAAGTTTTGGAAATGAATTTGATATTGATGATCCCTGGATCTTAACGATAGATGCAGATGGGACCTTCTCCAAGCCACACTTTGAAAAATTTTGATCATTTGCCTTTATTCATCTACATCATTGGCTATATATGAGCTAGGTCAAATGAGCTGGGTCACCTCTGAGAAATAAAAAGTAGACGCTACACCATGGAGTTTGTGCAGTCGCTTGAAGGCCCAGAGCCAGGTGCAGGGATGCATGCCTCCAGTTCCAGAACTTGAGAGACTGAGGCAGGAGAGCTGACATCAGAAAAACAAAAACAAGCGAAAGGATATGACAGCCAGATGATGCACTTACCTAGTTATCCAACCAAAAACATTTCTTGAGTAACTACCATGTAGTTTGCAATATGCAAGACATAATCTGTCACATTCACCTTCTGGGAGTGAGGTGTGATGAGGAGTTAGAGACGAGGTATAGGATACTGTTGTGGAATATTATTTTAAGGTGTGTTACAATTGTTTATGCTGTGGAACATTTGTTTAATGAGCAAAAATGTGTTGCATTCTTTTATGCTGCTTTTGTTTAACTCTGTGAAGCTGTGTTACTGTGCCTGTCTAAAATACCTGATGGTCTAATAGCAAGGGAAGAGAAGCATAAGCAGGGCTGGCAGGCAGAGAGAATAAGTAGAAGGAAAAATCTGGGAAGAGAAAAAGAAACAAGAAAAGAAGGAGGAGGACATCAGGGGCCAGCCATCCAGCTACCCAGCAAGCCGTGGAGTAAGAAGTAGTGAAAGGTAAAAGCCCAGAGGCAAAAGATAGATGGGATAATTTAAGAAAAACTGGCCAGAAGCAAGCCAAGCTAAGGCTGGGCATTCATAAGAAAGAATAAACCTCCATGTATGTTTATTTGGCAGCTGGGTGGCAGGGCCCCCAAAGAGTAAAGAGTGATAAAACAACCATCAACAGGGCACAGCTTCGTTCAGTTGCTGCATGTTGAATACAGGATTGTACATGGTAAGCAACCACTCTAGACCCTACAATAACACATTTTAACCATTACTAGCTTCAGCAGTGTTTGAGTTTATTTTCTTCTCATATTCGATATGACTTTTCAAGACCAACTTTAGCCAAGCAGAAAGAAAGAAAAAAGAACGAAAGAAAAAGTTTTTTATTTAAATATAAATTTTATAAGATAATTTTATTTTTTACTTGTGACACAAAGTCATTTAAATATAATCTCATGAGGGCTCAGTGACTTCTTTTGATGAAATCTAATCTCCATCTCAAATGATCCAATCTGAATGTCCAATCATACACTGCCACAGTTATCACCATTTTCTCCATATTTATAATGTGAATGCTTTAAACAGGAGAAAACTAAGTCTACAGGAAGGCTTGTCTGAGATCTCCTACTTAAGTTCTACTGGGTTGGTGTGAATATTGATGGAATCTCAGTGTGTTTACTCATCTTTCTGTTCACATCTAACCTATAGAGTACACCTTGGGCCAGGGGTTTAAACACTTACGAGCTGTTTGAATCAGGTTGAGAGTGTAATGTGTGCAGATTGTTTGTGGAGACTGTATTGCTTGCATGTCCCTGGGTGATGGACCTTCTGTCCAGCTGGGGTCCTTCTGAGGTGTTCCCTGTTCTGCAGGAAGGCCATAAGTCCTACTTTTTTAACAAAGATGTCAAGTATGAGATTAAATTAGGAACAGTTCTGGGATTTTCAGATGTCTTTGATTTTACACTGGTTCATGAGAACTGGAATTTGTGTTTGGGTTATTCACTGAAGTCACACAAGACTTTTAGGAAACTTGAGAGAAAATACCTGGGAATATAGCACTATATCTCAGTTTGTACAGTTCTGCAGCATTACACAATCTTAGTTTCTCTTTGTATCCAAAAGTCACACGAAAGAAGGATTTGGTGCTGCCATCATCAAAACTCTGGTGAGAAAGGTTTCAAAGCATTCGATAACTGTGTTTCAACTCATTCTATTTTGAGACATTCAAACTATATTAGAAAAAAGCAGCATATGAATTAGAAATTATATAGAATTTATATTCTATATAATTATAGTCCTCTGAGGCTTACCTGAAAAATACCTCCCAGGAGTTTTCTATTTTTGGTTTCTATAGAGTGCACACACATGTGCATGTTATTATGAGGAAAACATTTATTTAAAGTGTAAATTCTAGTTGGTTTGTTTGCTAAGGCAGAGACTCAGGCTGTAACCCAGGCTGACCAGGAAGTCACTAGTGACCTTACAATCTTCAAATTCCCTGTAAGTCATCTGCTTCTGGAAGTTACATTTATTATGCTCACAATTATATAGTGACCAAAGGAAATAAAAATTGTTTGTTAGATCCAAAATGATTTTTTCTTTTAAAAAAATAAGTATATTGGGGCTGGAGAGATGACTCAGGGCTCAAGAGCACTGGCTGCTCTTCCAGAGAATCCAGATTTGTTTCACAGCATCTATGTGGTAGCTCACAACCATCTGAAACTCCAGTTCCAGGGGATCTGAAGCCCTCTTCTGGCCTCCAAGGGTACCAGACATGAAAGTGGTGGGTGGATAAACATATATACAGACTAAACACCCATACACATAAAATAAAATAAAAATATTTTTAAAGTATGCATATTTACCAATGTAAATGATATTTTGTATATTTAATTGTGGAATATATTTCTAATCTTAACGTATATTCACAATTCTTACAAAAAATCATGAAGAATTAAAAGGAATGTTTCAGGATTCAGGACAAATCAATTAAGAGTTGATTTTATACATAAGAATTAAAATTTGAGCCATTAAAAGACATTCATCGTCAGTTTTATGCCACAGACCACCAGTGTGAATCAACTAGCAGAGATAGTTTTATCTTATAGTTGGTCAAAACGTAAGTTAGAAATAGAAGGGCTCTTCCAGGCTTCGTTATTCAGTGCTACGTCTAAAACGCCCGATTGAAACGGATGGCAGGAGAACTAGGAAGGAAACGTCATGATTTTGAGCAGCCCACAGATGTGTGTTAGTTTACCTTCGGCATACTTCAGATTCTCTGACACCGAACGTTTCACATGGGCAGGATTCTCCTGACTGAGGCTTTAATCAATTAAAGGCTGAGCACTTCCCTAATCTTCATCTCTAGATGAAGCATCTGCTCTCAGAGCATGTGTTTCAAATGTTAATAAAGTTTTCATTTCCAAAGGGTTCAGAATGACAGAACAAAATCCTCTCCTCTAAGAGCACAAACAGCCTGTGTTTCTGTCTGCAGGTGGTGGAGGACATGCTGGAGGACGAGGAGGAAGAAGATGAGAAGGATGACAAGGTAATTATCTCTCCCGGCCCTGGGTACCTGGGGGTGGCAGACGCAGACATGACACTGTTCTCACAGACAGTTGAAAAAGGAGTTGAAGTGTTTTGAGTCCAGAAAATTGGACAGTGCTGTTTATCATCCTAACAATGCCACTGCGTGTTGCAATGAGGAAGAAATGGCTATAAATCCTCTCTGCTTTTGTCCAGAGCTGGGTCAAATATTTTTCTGCCAGGAAAAAAAAAAAATCAGCTTGTCTTGAACTTGATAGCTACTGTGAGGGTAACAGCACTGGCAACCATTTTTGAAGGGCAAACATTTGTCCAATCCTGAATGTTACAAATCAGTCTATGCTTTGGGGGGACGGAGTCGAGTGTGAAAAAAGAGTAGCCTGCATGAGTTGGACACGGAAAATGTCATCTATAATTTTCAAAGAATTGTTCAGCAAAAGAATATGTGTATGACGTGCTTGGAAGGACATTTAAATGGCCCTGTGCTTACTGCCCTTGCTTAGGTCTATAATGTCCCCATGCCTCTTCCAAAAGACTTAGGAGAGACTTGCATTTCGTTTTGCCACTTGACTTGGCGATGCTGACCACTGGGGTGATATTTTATTTGTGCTCTAACAAACAACGCTTGCCTGGGGATCAGAGAAAAAAGCCAGGCACTATATTAAACATGGAGGTCAGGCAGTGGTAGCACAAACCTTTAATCTTAGCATTTGGGAGGCAGACATTCAGCCAGATCTCAGTGAGTTCAAGGCCACACTGGGAACAGAGCCAGGTGTGGTGGCACACACCTTTAATCCCAGCACTAGTTAATCATAGAGGTCTGGAGGTCTGTACAGACAGACAGGCAGTGATAGAGCTGGGCAGAAAGAGGAAGTGATGTAGCTGGGCAGAGAGAGGAAGTAAGATGGCAGGGCACAGAAAGGTATATAGGTGTGAGTATACAGGAAGTAGGCCTCTCTTTGACTGAGGGTTTCCTAGCAGTAAGAACTTGTGACTGGCTTGTTCTATTCCTCTGATCTCTCAGCTTTCACTCCAATATTTGTCTCCAGTTTTGTTTTGTTTTTTTTATTAATAAGACCGTTTAGCAATTTGTGTTACAGACCACAGTGAACAGCAACTGATTTCTGGTTTGTTTGGGTTGGTGGTTCCTTGGGGAGAGGGAGGAATTAGCAGGACCTTGTACCACCACAGCAGTGGCTGGAATTAGGACAACAGCTCTCTCCAGCAAAATAGAAGCTCTGTGGCATTGTGATCGCTTGGCATTTGAAGATATAAAACTTATCTGAAGATAGACAAGGATCAAGGGAGAAAATGTTAATTTTGACCTCCACCCAAAACTGACCATTGTTACAGGAAGTAATGATGTTTTTGAAGGAAGACAGAGCATCTTAATTTATGCCCTTGATCTTCAACCCCAAAAGAGATGCACAGTTATACCCTAGTATAAGAATTTGTGTTGGAAGCCAGCATTTGAAATGTCAAAGGGGGAAAGTGTCACATGGAATACTTCACCTCATAATCTTTGTTTCCCCGACTAGTATTTGATGTTTGCAGTAGAATGGAAACACACATGCTTACTCGCTGCTTTCCTGTCATGCTGCTTCAAATGCTTTTAAACTGATAGAGCTTTTATGTGAAATTTTTCTCCTGTACCTCATTCAGTCATTAGTACCATGATCAAAAATAACCTAACAAAATCTCTTGTCTGCAAACACACACACACACACACACACACACACACACACACACACACACACGTTTTTAAAGTCAAATAATATGAGCGTACACCCCTGGCAATAAACGGTCTGATTTATTGTTAAGGTCAGTTGTGGAGCTGTGGAGAGCCTGTACTCTAACTCAACATGCCGGCTCTGAATCATCACTTCTCTGCTGCTAAGGACTGAGCTGCCATCCATTTATGGCTATTCTCCCTTGCTTGTTGCTACTTTATTATTAAAGCCACCATAAAAATCCATCCCAGCAGCAGGCGTTTCCCTAGAAATGTTAATAAATAGAAACCCCAGTGACGTCCACTGCGTCCACGTCTCTCTGCTGGAAGTCAACCCATACACTGTTAGCCAGTTGGTTAGTGTGTGGCTCTTCATTTTCTTGATCATTTTTTTAAAATAGAGAAGGTCTTAGGTGTAGGCAACAAATAAGCCTCCCTAGTTAACCAGCTCACCAAACACAGATTTGATTGAACACATCTGGGTGGCAACACCAGCTCTCAGGAGCTGTATACATAGTGAACTGGTGGTTGGCTGTCTGAAATTGACACCCTACTTCTAACACGTTTTCAGATCCAGTTACCAAAGCAGACTGAAAGTGAGGGCTTCAGTGACTGTGTGAATTCAACTAAATTTGTCCGTAGCTGATATAGGCAAGTAGTGTGCTTTCATTGTGAGCTGTTGTTCATAATCCAGCCTTTTGTTTGAATGATATATGAGGGTGAGGTCCCCCTCTTTTTTGACCATAGTGAAATTGATAGTATAAAAATGGTGTCTGAACCTAAAAGAAAATCTCAAGTGTCGCAATTTGCAAGACACTTTGAACTCTCTTAGGCTAGAAAAGTGGAAATAAGGAAGGATCGTGCAAGCATCCGTTCACCAGCTTCTGTCCATCAGCGTGGCTCTCACGGAGCACACATTGTAAGTCTTAACTATCAGTGTGTCTGAATGGGAGAAGAGTCATTTCCTATTTTAAAATTTCATTGGTTCCTCCATTTAAAGTTTGTATGTAGAGTCATGTGTAATGGAATTTCATGAAAAAACAAATGTGTTTTTCACCATACAAACAGGTACTGACCTTTAGTTCTCATTATTTCTCTGTTTTCTCATATGGTATAGTAGTGGGGTCAGGTCAATGGGTCCTCTTATAGGATAAAAGTAAAGAAGATTAATAAATGTGCCAAAGCCTCACTTTAATTGAACCTGAAGCACATGTTGCAAGTATGTAAAATATGTCCCAGATGTTCCACCGGGGCCAATGTCTTGCTTTCCCTGGTTGCCGCAAGGCAGCTATTAGTCCTGTAACCTTTGGACTTGGGGGTAAATGGGATATTACGTGGCACAGAATGCGAGCACCTGTTTCCCATTCAGTAGAGACCCCTGGCAGGCTTCACCTAAGCCGGTGCACATGTTTTCACTTAGTGGATTGTTGGGTGATTATGAAAAGTGTCTTTCTTTAGAGCAGCATTGATATTAGTCACTCACAATGAAAGGCCAAGTCATTGGCTACTTGACAAGGTCCTGTGGGCATAAGGTGAAGTCCTTCATTTCATCTGAGCATGTAGTATTTTCCCTCAGCATAATTACACACATAGAAAAGATATCACTCTAAGAAGTTGAAGCCCATAAAGATATACTTACTAATAGCTTCTTTAGTGTTGGCTTTAGTACCTCAGAAGACATCGGTTAAAGTTGGTCAAAGCTCAATGATGGTTCACCTGGATCGCCAGATTTTGAAGCTTTTAAGTTTTTCTTGTTGGTGTTGTCCCTGTTTTTTATTTAAAAGGCTTATTATCCTTTTTCAGCTTAGGGTTGTGGTCATGGATTTACCCTTCATTCTAAAATCCATTCTCCACATTGGTTCAAGTCTAAATTTAAGTGGCCTATTTTTTAATCCAATTCCACCATTTTCCAAAAGGCAGAAAATATGAGTTTTAAATGATGAGCTTTGCATGTGACTCATTACCTTCTAATATTTTCACTTACCTGCATTATATAAGAACACCGTTAAGCTGTGCTGGGGACAGCATTCTTTTCTGAATTAACCATGAAACATCCTAGAGTTACATTTTCTATAGCGCATTCTCTGCACTCTCAACTACAAAGCTCTAGTCTAATATGTTTTTCTATCCAACACCAATTCCTTTCTCTACTAGACTATAAGCAAAGTAAGGTTTAACTAAATATCCTGGGTGGTGCTATCAACAAGCATATAATAGTGTTCATACCACATCGTATAACCATACAGTGGCCAATCTGCATAACCTAGACATCAGTTAACAAAAGGCAGTCGTCTTTTGTAGTTTGAAAAGTTTCAGCATGCTTCCCACAGTCCACCCTGCACTGGTAATAAGATCCAGCTGCAGGATCAGGAAGCAGAAGATAGAATGCTGTGTTCCAGCAGGAAAAATGTGAATTCAGATGCATTACATTCTAGTAATGTTTATTGATAAAAGATATGAACGCATTCAGGCATTTATGCTCACACAGCTCCTCTGCCTCCTTCAGCTGTTATGTCAAGGTTACTTGTTTCCAGACAGCTAGATGCAATGAATGGAACATATTTGAGTTACTTCAAAATATACAGAGTGTTTTCTTTAATTCTTGAAATCTGTATTTTTTGGTTTGATTCTCCAACCCAAACATGTGTCTACTGTACCCAAGATCCATACATCTCTGCATCTCAAACGGCAGTGAGGGAGGAAAGAAAGAGATAATTCTAAGTGATAAGAGAGAAGATTTTAATCTGACAAAATTGGATTTTCCAGTTATATTCGTGAAGTAACTTCATGGTTGGGAAGCCAATTGAGGCTGTAGAGAAAAGCCGAATGAAAGGTGACTAGGGAATTCTCTTCTAAGAAACTCCAAATCACATGGGGATACCACTGTGTTCCCTTATTCACTTTCTGTGTCTGTATGACAAAGTATCACAAACGTAAAGGCATAAAACAAGTGGTTGTTGTTGTGTTCTTGTGTTCAATAGGTCAGAAATACAGGCATAGCCAACTGGTTCTCTGCTCAGTGTCTGACTCCTAGGGACCAGCTGGACTGAGTTATCATCTGCAGGATTTAGAAAAGAATCCATTTCAAAGCATGATTCAGCCTGTTGGGAGAATCCAGTTCCTTATATCTGTAGAACTGAAATCCTTGTTTTCTTGTTTCTTCTTTCTGTTCCTCGTAGCCTAGCTGTCTTTAAATGCATCAATGGAGAATCTCCCTTGGGTTCCCCACACTTCAGCCCTATTTAAGGGCTCACATGGTTACATCAGGACCAAGA